AGAGGGGACCAGTTATTACGTGAATGATCGTTCCTAACAATAATAATTGAGCAGAATTTGGGTCATGAAAGTGGCAGAAATTCGATTCACAAGTCGTACCTGCAGCGGCGTGATTTCCGAGTGCGACCTCTGCAAACTTTTGATAAAGGACGCGTAATCTTGAAAGACTCGAAAAAACTTTCTGAATAACCTAGCACAAAAAAGAAGACCTTCAGCTGAAGTTCTACTCTCTTTGTTTTTGCTTAGTTGTTTGCAAAAAAAATTCGAAAAATCAAATCTTTGTCGGATTTTCAACTCGTAGGCTTTCGTTCATTTTTATACTTTTTGAATTTTTAAGTGTATTGTGCTCGAAACACTTTTTTTGCGAGCTGCACAGAAATTTTCTCAAATTTTTTATTGTTCTTTAGTTTCCATTTCATAGCCAATGACTAATTGGAGGTTAAAATGTAGAATTTTCCATCGTGTCGTGAATTTATATTGAGCCTGTATTTCGGCCACACGTTTTTTCCAAGTTCTATTGTCGTAGTTCATTCCTCTTAGCAAATTTGTGGAGCTTTTCCAGTAGACGTAGTGTAGCTCTATTGTGTTGTGCTTCTTTAAACACCCTTTACGTGTTGTTCGGAGCTGAATTGTACCATCAACGTGACGGCAACACGCACACATCTTCACATCGCCTGGAACGCTATTGGTGGTCGTGTGTTTTTAGCAACTGACGTATAGTTTCCAAACAACGCATCACCTGTGTTTCGTGATGGAATTCGCCAACGGAGGGGAGCTGTTCACGCATCTGCAGAAGAGCGGTACATTCAGTGAAGCGCGTTCACGATTTTACGGAGCGGAGATTGTGCTTGCTCTGGGATATTTGCACAGTCTTTCGATTGTCTATAGGGATATGAAGGTATGTTTTCATTTCTTTCCCAGGGAGTCAGTTGTGTTTCGATCGATTATTAGATCAAGTTACTGCATGTTTCGTAGTTGTTTCTACAGAAGTTGTGTTTCGTAGCTTTTTCGATCCTAGCGGATTTCATTCTTCTGATAGTGAAACCAGCAAGCACGACTTCTGTGGTTTATTTGTGTGTGGTTCCTTATTTATCTGTCTGTATATTTTGTAAATTTTGACTACTTTGAGCATCTGGAAGCAAGGGCTAATTAACTGCATGGTTCTCTATTTTATTTTTTTATTTTATTCTTTTACATTTCGGAAATCTTAAAAAGAATTTGTGCAGGGCCAGATAGTAGTGAAGGATCCCAATTGTTGTTTTTTTGTCACTTGTATAATTCCGAGTTCTCTTCTAAATCCGCGTAAATATTAGCGTACGTTTTGAAGCGGCCTTAGAAGTATTGGAGATGCGTTGAGACTGACGTCTTGTATCTTATCTCTGAACGATTTATGTAATCATCCCACTTTGTATTTAGATGTTAAATAGATATTATAGTAAAAGAAATGTCCGTCCAAAGGCAGTGATCATGTCGATTTCTCTGCAAGTTAGAGAACGCCTGCATGAGCACTACCTTCAGTGGGCACGTATCGTAGTTTCTCTGTCTGGCCGTAAAGTGAACGACTTTGGCAGTCGGTTGCATTCAATTTGGAGCGAGACGTGTATCGAAATCGTCGTGCGATGGCAGGCGTTCTCGACGCATATCCATATCGATCGCACGATCGATGCGCGTCTTTTTCAGACTGAATCCCCACGATGGGGTACCCGACAGGAGGCCCATCGCGCGACAACAAGGCAGAGTCAGCGGACGAGTCGCAGCGCGTACTGAGATGATTTGCGTCAAGTTGAGTAGAATGTACCATGTACGCCCTACATCGCACATCACGCTCTGCGGCTCGTCCGCTGACTCTGCCTTCTTGCCGCACGACGGGCCTGTGTAGTCCCCGCTGACTGCAAAGTTGATTCGACTTTCTGCGGGGCCAGATGGGGGGAAACAAAAAAAGCCCGGACAACCACTGTCACTACTTATCTGTGGGAATTTGCCCCGAGTTTCAATCAGCTTAGTGTAGATTTTTTCATTGTTGACGCGGTTTTCCTTTTGCATGTGCATGTGTTTGTATTAAGCTTCTCGCTTAACCACTGCTATCGAGTAACAGCGATTCGCCATAGATTTCTAGCCTCGTTCTTATTGAAAACGTTAGCACGTTCATGGGATCTGTTTTCGCATCTAATTATAAAACTTAGTTTTGTGAAGAACTCGAGGCTTAGATCTTATTGAGCGCCTTGACTTTGAAAGCCATTATTTGAATCATACAACAGAAGTGTAGTATGTGCATTGCTATGCAATTTCGCCAAAATAGAGGATTTTTGCGAGCTTGGTTGTGAGCAGGCTGAGGAGCGCCTGGGTCCAAGCGATTTCATGAACCGGGATAAGGCCCTGTATTGGAATAAAGGAGAATAGTGTGGTGAATTATAATAGCACATCTTATATCCTGGGGATCGGCTTGGTGCAAAATTAGAAGGGCAGTTTTGGCGGAAGGCTCTTGGGTTCATAGAGGGATACATAGTAGACGCGCGATAAATGTGACATTCAAGAATAGGCATTATTCTCAATGATTGTGTACAGGAGCTGAAATACTCGTTCCAAACGGCTGATCGTCTATGCTTTGTGATGGAATTCGCTATTGGCGGGTCATCTGTATTACCATCTGAATCGTGAGGTACAAACCTCGAAAGAAGGAAATTAGCGTGAGCGCCTGCTCCGGTTCTATGGCTGAGATGGTCTGGCACTTGGTTACCTTCATGCAAACAACATCGTCTATCGCGATCTAAAGGTCTGATCATAAGGAAATAGATTAGTCGAAATTAACCATTCTATTATCATCCATGGCTAGCGGTTCTTATCAGTTTATAAATGATAAACCTACGGGACATGTGTATTCAATTGAGTGTCTTTTTCACAATCATAATTCTCAATATATGTGAAGCAAAAGTTCGGAGTGTTTGTCAGCTTGCTTGTCTGCACGTTCTTCTGCTACCTAGAAAAAACTGCGGTAGTGGAGGGGCTCCATTAAGAGTGGGTGCGGTAGTGGGCGGAGCTAGACCAAACGGCCTTCTTTGTCTTCTGCAGCGTTGTGGATTTTGGTAGACGAATAGGGGCATGCTAACCGAAGACCGAGTCTTTGATATGACGCATAGTTCGATATCTTTCAAATGTGAAGGTTTTTGCGCAGAACGATCAAACCGAAAACCGGGTAACGAACCACACCATTGGTCAGGTAGTCGAAAGTCGAAGTTCTTTAGGACCATAGACTACGACCGATATTACCAGAATATGAATCTGCGCAGCTTACCTGAACGGGAACCAACCTCTTACAGAAGGGGAACGAATTGATTGGTATGAGTAATTGAGTTTAGCAGTCCTGTGACGCGCGTGGTATTGTGCGCGGTAAAGTTTTTTGCTTTCTATCGCTTCAGCCGGGAGGTTTAATTACTGTGTGAGAAGTTGTGAAAGTGGATGACGTGGTACAGTTTTATGGACCTTGTAGGTAACAAAAATGTTCACTAAACTCACCGGTCCTTTTTCACTTTGATTTCAACAGTAAACATCAAAAAGTGGCTGCCGACTTGTGATAGGGTTAGTAAATATTTTAGTCGTCACATCCTTGTACTGTTGATTTCGGCAGATCTTATTTACAAATGATGAAGTACCAAGAAATATGTTTTCAATCACTTTTTACTATTCCGGGGTCAACAACTGAACGTGTAATGATCTTTAGAATTCATTTTAAGTTATTGGGGCAGTTTTAGATTAACATCATTGATTTTACATTTGTGGAAACCCAATTCAATTTATGCATATCAGCACTCATTTTCAACAGTTCACAGTTTATTTTCTTCTATGTGCACAGTGTGTTTCAAGGTTTCTGTTCAATGGAGCAAGTATTAGATAGGCATGATTGTGGGTGCTGAAGTAGGAATTCCTAATTAACGCTGTAAGTTATGATAGTGGAAAGAGAGCCAATCGTCACATTGGGAATGATTTCGAAAAGACCCACAGTAGATAGTGTTTTCAACACGATCCCCCAACGGTCGGTGGTTTTGGAGACTCCGCCCTTGGTGCTGTGAAAGGCCGATGTCATAGTTTGCGAATCGAGCGATTCGCAGACTATGACGCGTCACGCGTCGAAATCAGCAGAGGGAGAGGACGGGGTTTAAAGGTTTTCTAACTGTTCAAATTTCTGCATGTTCCCATGCAATGTCCCTCCAACTATTTTCAGTCCCTTTGCTAGTGTCACTAAAGACGGCCTGTTTCGTAGGGAATCTCCCAACGGACGGTTGAACCTGATCGGAAGACCCCTAAGGGCCCATGTAGAGCAGTGGTTGGAGGGTGTGGTTTGCTGGGACAAAAAGTAACTTTTTTGCGTTCGGAAGCGCGAAACATTTTTCGCTGCGGAAAT